CGGTCCTCTGTGGCTAAGGAATGTCCGAAGGCAATGATGAAAGGAAATTATGGGATGCTCCGAAGACCAGGCCGAGACTTGGCAAACAAGTTCTTTAATGAGTAAATCCTCTGGATGATTCTATTGCCCATATTTGTTAAAAAGACAGAAATTGTTTTCTTAAATCTTAGTTCATGTTTTCAGTGAAGAATGAGGACAAGGCTTGGTGATCTGGAAGCCCCTGTGATCTACAGTGAAGGATTTAGTGCAGGGCATGGTTGCCCCCATGTCCACGAGATCATGGAAAGGACCCACCTAGGGTCAGCCTCTAGGATACTGAATGGCTATGATGGCCATTTATCCAATTCAGCATGCTCCTGATGGTGAAGAAACTCATTTCACTCAGGATTTTAAAAACATAGGAGGTAAACTCGGAACTCAGCACTGTTCTCTTGAGGGAGTGCAGGAGCCATGGTAGGAAAGACAGGGTTGATAGAGAACCCACACAGAGCTGAGCAGATATGGTGGCTAGTGTTGGTTGTCAATTTAACATATAGGGAAGTGGGAACCTCAGTTGAATAATTGCTTATAATAGACTGGCTTGTGGGTATGTCTGTGGGACAGTTTCTAGATTGCTAATTGATGGAGGAGAGGGCCCAGGCTCCCGTGGCTGGTTCCACCCCTGGGCAGGCGAACCTATATCAGGTTTCTATTGCTGTGATATAAACAGTGACCAAAAGCATTTTGGGAAGGGAACGGTTTACCTCATTTTACAGCTTGTAGTCCGTCATCCTGGGAAACCAGGGTAGGAACTCAAGGCAGGAACCTGGAGGCAAGAGCTGAAACAGAGGCCATGAAGGAGTGATCCTTATTGGCTTGCTCCCCATGGCTTGCTCAGCCTGCTTCCGCATAACACTAACACCCAGAGCCACCAGCTGAGGGGTAAGGCTGCCCACAATGATCTGGGCCCTCTAACATCCATCAAGAAAATGCCCCCAAACACTTTCCCACAGGCCAGTCTGGTGTGGAAGTGTCTAAATTGAAGTTCCCTCTTCCCAAATGACTCTAGATTGTATCAACTAGATATAAAACTGGCCAGAATAGTTTACGATAATGAAGGTACCTGAACAAACAAGTGACAGCTAAGCCAGTAAGCAGTGCTGTGGCCTCTGCTTCAGTTCCTGTCTCCAGGTTCCTGCATGAGTTCCTGCCCTTGTTCCTTTGATGAGAGTGTAGCCAGTAAGCCAAATCATCCTGTTCCTTCCCCACGTTGCTTTTGACAAGCGTTTTATGGCAACAACAACAACAACAAAAAATGAACTAGAACAGCAGCGATTGGGGCAGAGGGACTCTGAGGAAGTCCCAGAAGTCAGATGTCAGAGCTGATCACTCAGTATGCAGGCCAGGGCAGAGATACCCAGAGGCAGAAACCAACCCTTGTGGGTCTGAGGGGTTCAAAGGTGCCATGGAATAGTCTTCTTGTACACTGTAAAGGTTTGTTACTTGAATTGGTTTAATAAAATGCTGATTGGCCAGTAGTAGCCGGGCAGGAAGGATAGGTGGGGTGACCAGACTAGGAGAATTCGGGGAAGAGGAAGGGAGGAGTCAGGAGTCACCAGCCAGACACACACACACAAACAAAACAAGATGAGAGTGCTCAACTGAGAAAAGGTAGCAAGCCACATGGCAAAACACAGATAAAAATGATGGGTTAATTTAAGTGTAAGAGCTAGCTAATAATAAGCCTAGGCTACTGGCTGAGCATTTATAAGTAATATTAAGCCTCAGAATCAATTATTTGAGAAGCAGCTGCCTGGTATTTAGAGTTGCTGGTGGTACAGAAACTTCCACCTACACAAAGCACTTGAGGGGGTCAGTGAACCCAGTGTGGCCACCCTGCTGTGGCTGCTGGCCACTCTCCATGATGAATTTTATGATTCCTTACTCCTGAAGTGTAAAAGACACCAAAAGATCCCAAACTTACATGCGCCAATGTGGAAGTAAGCCCCTCATCACATTGGCTAACAGCAAAGCCCTTAGGTTAAGGAGACTAAGTTAACTATCACACATTAAAAGTAATATTACTTCATTTGGGAGAGAGCATGCTAACATAAGAACCTGCATTCTTAGCCCCAGAACTCATGTAGAACCCTGGGCAGAGCAATGCATGGCTGCAGTCTCGGGGCTCCTGTGGTGGTTTGAATGAGAAACATTCCCTACACACCCGTGTGTTTGAACACTTGGTCCCAGAGTGGTAGTGCTGTTTGGGGATGTTACGGAGCTGTTAGGAGGTGGAACCTCACTGGAAGAAGTGTCACTGATTGCGGGTGGGCTTTGAAAATTTATAACCCCCAACACACACACACACACACACACACACACACACACACACACACACACACACACTGCTTCCTCTGTGTGGATGAAATTGTAATTGAGGTTGTTGCTTCTGTGGCCATACTTTTCCCTAACTGCTGCTTTCCTCACTCTCCTCACCAAGATGGACTCTATGCCCCTGGAACTGTAAGCTGAAATAAATTTTCTCCTCCCCAAGTTTTCTTGGCTACAGTGTCTTAATCAAAACAACCAAATTGATGGGAATACAGTTGGTGAAGCAGAGGAAGGAGGAACCCTAGAGCTCACAGTCAGTCCATCTAGATGAATCAGTGAGATTCGAGTTCACTGAGAGACCCTGTCTCAAAACCTAAGGTGGAGAAATATCAAAGAAGACATCCAATATTGACCTCTGGCTGGCATATGTATATGCACAGATGTACACACACACAGGCACATACACATGTGTGCATATACCACACAAATCCCTGTACATAGTTAATTCATTTATTATGATAAATAACTTTTCTTTCCTTTTTTGTTTTTTGAGACAGGGCTTTCTGTGTGGCCCTGGCTGTCCTAGAACTCACTCTGTAACACCAGGCTAGCCTCAAACTTAGAGATCTGCCTGCCTCTTCCTCTGGAGAGCTGGGATTAAAGGCATGTACCACCACTGCCCAGCATCATTTTGTCTTTAAAAATGATATCCAATAATTCCTGAATTTAATAAGATGATTTTATACTGCGAGAACACATCACATAGTATTTCCCCAGAAAATGTACCTAGGATCATCTGAAAATAATTGACATACTTCCACACCCAGCAGAGTCGGGAGGTAAAATTGTGAGTCGATTTCTCTAGACTCAGATAAAAAGATAGCCCATGGACCAGAGAGGGAAATCATAATCCTAAAGATGGAAACTATAATTCCAGCCTCGCTCTGCAGATGCCCACCACTGAAGACTCTTGGAGCTGGTTGAGGTCTGCAAAACTTCGTGTTCTTATGTTATGAATTGTGATTTAATTGACAGCTGAGCTCAGAAGCTATTTCTGGGTGTCAAAGGAGCTCAGGGAGGGAGGGAGATGGGTTGGCACTGGTTGAAGAGACCACAGGCCCCTTGTGAAGACCGGATTTATTCGGAATAGAAAGCCACTATTCAAGGTTATGTAGTGGCAGGCCACGCATGCTACCAAACATTCCTACTTCTGAGCCCAGCGACACTGGCGTAGAGCACAGTAAACCAGTTGCGTGTGGAATACACCTCATGACTACCGTCCCCCGTCTTCAGGGCCTGTGTGCTCCCAAGGGCTGGCCCTGTTGAGGGTGTCTGTAGAACACTGATCACGTTTTCCCCCGTGAAAACACGTCAGCGTGCTGCTGGCTGATCATCACCAGTTTTGAAATTCTCTCCTGACATTGCTGCTGCCTTGTAATTTATCTGTGGGGCAAAAGGTAGAATGGTTGGTTTCTTTTTAATTTCTCCTTTTCAATCCAACATATGGTTCTGCTTAAACGTGTCCATGTTTGCAACTCACGGTTGACGTTTTTTGGCGCTCGGAATAGCATCTCGCAATTATGCTTCGTTTAGAGAGAAGGGTCTGCTTTACCAGCTCTAGCCAAATTTATTGGCTGCTGAGAGCCCTGCAGAATGTAGACGTCTGGTCTGGGGGAGCTCAATGGATTTCTGTTCTTGGTACATGCACCCACTTATGTGCTCATGTCCCACCCCCAAACTCCCCGCCACTACATGAAAGTATCTGAGTGTTGTACAAGGCTAAAGCTTTTTGTGTTAATCTATCCCATATGGAGTAGGTATTAAACAGACAGCAAATTCAGTCAGAGCCTGGGGCAAGTGTGTATTTGTGATGTGGGACACTGTCAAGGGACTTTTGTAGCAAAGAATAAGTGGGGGTGGCGGAGTCAAGAGAAAAGGGCATATGGAAAGTAGAAGGGAACTTTTCAAGCTACATGCGGCCTGAAAATAATTATGTGTGTAATGACTGTGAGCCTCTGGGTCCTAGTTGATATCCACGGACACTGAAGGAAAGCGGCTGGAGGAGGGGTGGTCCTCCAGCATCCCCATGTCTACAAGACTCAGAGTTACCCCATGTGGTGTTGGGATTTTGCTTCAGAAATTAGGCTAAGCTAGACTGAGGATTTGTTGTGAATCCAGTGTGCTGAACCAGATCCTGAGCACATGGAGATGAATGAAACATGGAGGGTCTGAAACAGAAGGCACATGGGGAGCCCTTTGTAATTTAAGCGAAAAGATTTGACCTTTTAGGTGTGAACTTTTTGAGCAAGTGAGAGAGACTCTGAGAGTGCTCAATGGATCGGATATCTAGATAGGAAACAGCCAATGCTCAAGAGGGCTCACCATCTATAACAGGGGTGGAGTTCTGAGATAGACACTGAACAATGCAGCCATCCAAAACAAGCTGGGCAGAGGGTGGAGGACGGGAGAGCCGAGGCAGGATGTGTGTGGCTGGCTCTGGAGAAAGGGTAGTTCATTCCCCGAGAAGGGAGGAACCAGAGGATAAACTCAAAACCCCAGCTCTACTCATGGATGTCTGAGTTTCTAGGGCACAATGCTGCTACTACAGTAGATGTGACACGGCTTGTTCTCAACTATGGGCAACTTCTGGGTGCTCTCACCCTTCATCTGTCTTTACACGTTTCTTATAGGTTCTTCCGGATGATTCTCTCAGGGAAGCCACCTCGACAAAGGCTAGAAGGCCGTTTCTGAGGCAGAAGGCATGCCCTGGCGGCTTCAAAAAGAAAAGGTAACTAGGGTTGGGTCAAACCTGGTATCGTCATCTCTGATGCCATCCATTTTTAAGAGATCTCTGCCGTGAGAGTACATCATGCCCAAAACACAGCCTGTGTCTTGCTGCCATGTCAGAACTTATTAGATAGCAGTAAGTTCACAAGGTTTAGAGGTTTCAAGGGCAACAATTTGTCATAAAATACCACTACCTCAGTTGCCTGACTGAGGCAAGTGTAGATTCTTTATTACAGTCTTAATTACTAATATTAACTCTCCTCTCACATAGCATATGTGTGGGTTACAGAAGGAGCATGAGTCGGAGAGGCTGCAACAGAGCCCCAGAGGGTTAGAAGCAGGCTGAGAGAGTCTACAGGATGAAGCTGACCAGTGCAGGATGGGGCTGGCTTGCAGAGGGATGGTCTGTATGTCAAATGTGTTGCTCTGATTGGTCAATAAATAAAACACTGATTGGCCAGTAGCCAGGCAGGAAGTATAGGTGGGACTAACAGAGAGGAGAATGGAGAGAACAGGAAGGCGGAGGGAGACACTGCCAGCCACCATGACAAGCAGCATGTGAAGATGGTGGTAAGCCACAAGCCACGTGGCAAGGTATAGATTTATAGAAATGGATTAATTTAAGATGTAAGAGCTAGACAGCTAGAAGCCTGAGCCATTAGGCCAAACGGTTTAAATAATATAAGCGTCTGTATATTTATTTTATAAGTGGGCTGTCGGACTACCGGGGCTTGGTGGGGCTGGGAGAGAAAACTCTCCAGCTACACTGGCTTCTGGAGCAGCTATGGGGGCAGGTTTGAGAGTGGAGATGCAGAATCTGGCTGTGAGGTGAAAGGTTAAATGGGGATACTGATGGGTCAAATCCAGGTCCAGATGGGTGAATGGATGGACAGCTAGACAGCTGAGTAGGTTCTTTGTACAGGAGGGGATGTGATTGAGTTTGGTGAATCCTCCATCCCTGATGCATACAGCAAGTATCAGGCAATACTTGGTGTTGTGGGGCCCAACCATCACGATGATGGGTGCCCATCAATTCGTGAGGGATAGGTGAGCACATTATAGCCTTTCCTCAGTCTGGTGTGTCCATAAGTTCCTAGGCCTAGCTTCCTTGATAGGATTTTAGTCATCCGTGTACCCCCATAGCTACAATTCCACTCACTACATTTACAGAATGACTCCCATTCCATTCCTAGGAATGCGATTCATCCGTCTGTACTGGACACGTGGTATCTGACAGACAGTGCCATTTCAGGGGCCACCCAGGGTCTAGAATCACGCTTCTCTCTCAAAATGAAGTCAGAAACTGTTTATAAAATGGAGTCTCCTAGGGCAGTGTGTAGCCTGGAAAACCACGGATCCATACAGTATGGAGTAACTTGGAGTAGGGCATAGCCTGTTCTCCACAGTGTCTGAGCTGAAGAAACTTTACCAACCCAATGATCTCTGCCCTGTTGCCTGGAGGAGGTGCAGGGCTAGGACCGCCCTGCCCTCTATGTCTGTCCGATCAGTGTCTTTCCGGTTGTACCTATCTGTTCAACATGTGCCAAGCTCCTATGAGGTGCCAGCCACAAATGCCAAGCACTCCTATGAGGTGCCAGCCCCTGAGGGTACAGATGCTTGCAGAGTCCATGTAATCTCTGTAAGCGATGTGAGAGGGGCTTAGAGAAAGGCTCATTTGCTCTGCAAGAATGAGGCCCTGAGTTCAAATCCCCGGTACTCATATGAAAAGCCAGTCATGGCTGCCCATGAGTGAACACAGTCAGATTCCAATAGCTCATAGCCAGGCAGCTGAGACAGGCTGGCGAGGTTCAGGCTCAGTGAGAGGGCCTGTCTCAGGGCATCCAGGTAGAGAGTAACAAAGGGAGATACCCAACACCCTGCTCAGCCCTCTCCATGAGTGCATAGGTGTCTGTACAGCATGTAAATACACATAAACAAAGAAGTAATGGAAAATAAAGCCAGTCCCTGGGTGTATGCCTATAACCATACGACTGGAGAGAGAGAGAGAGCCGGGCAGATCCCTCCAGCTCCCTGCTTAGGCTTCCTTGTCTTAGAGAGCTTCAGGCCAGAGAAAGACAACATGGGAAGGGCCTGAGGAATAGCACCTAAGTTTGGCATCTGGCTTCCACATGGATTGATAGACATGCACTCATGTGTGTGCATGTACACACACACACACACACACACACACACACACACACACACACACACACACGTGATGTGAGAGGACTGAAGGAAAGAGAGACACATTCTTTCTTACGGTCAAGTGAAGGAACTAGTCTGGGTCACCAGGGAAGGCTTCCTGCAGAAGTGACGAAGGACCCACAATCAGAACAGACAGAGTAAGCCTGAAGTGGACTGCAGGATCCTGGAACCATGAGCCTAGTTGTATTACTGGAGGCCAGTGAGTGGGAGACATTCTGAGGGGGGCGCTGTGGGCGAAGGCCAGCCTGCTGAGGGGTTCGGCCCTGCAGGAGTTCGCTCTTGATCCTAAATGGAAAGGAAGGGCCACTGAAGGCTTGAAGCCGGAGGTTGACATAATTGGATTTGAACATGAAGGGATCAATTCGGCATCCACTTTCCCAGATAAAACTAACCAGAAACAGTTTTTTTGGATCAATTGCAAGTTACACACCTAGAACAGGCCATTTCCAGCCATCTTCCTGCACTTTTGCAGATCAATGGCGGGACCAGGTTTCACAGATGTAGCTTGGGGCTAGAGAGACGCCCAGCCTGCTGGGCTCTCTCACGCATTCTGCAGCAAGGAGTTTCTTTAGTCTTTCTGAAGAGTTGAGTCTACTGAGGGAAGAACAGCCACCGTCAGGGCTTGTTTGGAGAAGTCCAATCCACTAATGGAATGGGAATATTGGCCTCAGAGATTTGTCAACCCAAGATGAGGAGAAGAATGTTAGATGAAATAGTAGAAGTCTGATGTGTGTCTTAGAATGAGCCATGCTGAAAGCCTGATTATTTACGTTTGTTCCCCTCTCCCACCATGCACATGTGTGGGCACGTGCATTCGTGTGTGTGTGTGTGTGTGTGTGTGTGTGTGTGTGTGTGTGTGTTCAGGTAGAGGCCAGAGTCAATCTCAGGCATCATTCCTCGGGAGTTTTCTACCTCATCTTTTGAGAGAAGGTCTCTTATGAGATTGAGGCTCACTGTTTTTAAGCTAGGCTAGCTGGCCAAGGAGGCTCAAGGCTCCTCTCTTCACTATCCCACTGAGACTGCGGCACACAAGTTACCCATGCCCAGCGTTTTACATCCTTGCTGGGGATTGGATTCAGGTCCTCCTCTTTGAAGGGTAAGCATTTTACCAAGTCACCTTGCCAGTCTCCTCCCCCCTGCCTGCTTTTGGACCATGCCCATTGATGATATTCTGGGCTGAGCTCAGGAGATCTGTTAATATAAAATAAGTGGTGTAGGCTGCCCTTCCAGCCAGTGTCACCATTCCTGAGGAAGACAGGAAGCCATCTTCATGGAGTGCTGTCTGCTTTAAACAGGGTCCTGGGATCTCCACCAGCATGCCACTGTTAATGCCTTCAGCAGCAGCACCTTGACTTATGCAAGACACAAGGAGGCAAAGCCCCTGATGAGGTTGGACAGATGGGTGACAGACCATGTCCACATGCAGGTTCCTGGAGTCTAAGGAGTGTGCTCTGTCCCCTATTACATGCTTCAAGCCTCAAAGAGTCAAGAGATAAGTGTTTGAGAGGCCGTATGCATGCAGAATGACAGAAACGGCAGTTGAGGATGTGTGTGTGTGCTAATAATAGCTTGCTCAGGCTTCCTAGGGCTGTCTGGCAGATCACGTGTGTTCAGGGACCAGAAAGTGCACTAGATAAATAGAAAAGGTTGTTCTCATACCCATATCAGCCAGGGTACATTCAGGGTAACAGTGAGGGAAACACAAACTTGGACTGTGGCTTTTATTCCATTCATCTTCAAGGCTTTCTTGGCATCTCCTGAACCAGAAGGGAGGGTCAGGCAGCCAGCAGCCTCACCCATTCTAAACTAAAGGCAGACCCATCTGTCAGCTGTGTGGGGGCATTCCTGACTGCTGTGTGCTCCTAGGGCACCCAAAGCTTTTGTCTCTAAGTTAAAAGGTAAAGGACCATTGTTGCCTATAAACCCCCAGAGAGGGTTTGGGTGCTACAAACTCTCTGGTGTCTCTTGGGCTTCCCCAAGACCCCATGCCTGAACCCCACATGACTCTGGGCCATTTCCATTTCCTGGTGGGATGGCAGCAAGATAAGCTTCAGCAAGGACAGACCCAGCCAAAGTCTCTGCCCGGCGGTGGCGGGGTCAGGGAGAGCGTGATTGGGAGAAGAGAGCTGTTTAAAATTACAGGGATTTTCCAAGCTGCCCTGCAGCAAGCTGGGCTAGCTGGATTGTAAGCAGCTGTGTCTGGCAGCCAGGGAGTGACAAAAGGGATGTGTGACCCAAGTCTGAGTCCTCTAGGAGAAATGTGTGACCTGGCTGAGGGCGGAGATGCTGCCCCAGCTGCTTCCGTGGTCGACATGGACACGACTGGTATAAGGGCCTGTTTAAGTGAAGTGCCACTGCTGTTCTCTGCATAAAGTCCTGTCAGTCTTATAGACTGAGGCGCAAGGAAGCTTTAATTTATCACCACTCATGAAAATTTGCTCGGACGGCACACAGCTCCTCCTGGCCTCTCTTTTGTCTCTTGATATATGGAATTATGTCATTTAGGATGATGGCCTGAGGGTCAAGTCTACACACCAGGCAAGCTCCCTTCCTCCCGAGGCTGTATTCTTCCAAGGTCGGGCAGAGGCTGACCCACTGTGCAGAAGTGGAGGCTTTCCATCCTTGCCATCTGCTACTCCTGCTCTGCCACACCCTTTCTCACTTGCTCTGGATTTCCCCCTGGCCCCTGTTCCCTGCTCCCAGACAAAAACTGCTGTCCAACCTTCTCTTGGCCCAGAGCATGTATCCTCCTTCTTTCATGTCAAGGGGGTCTCTGTTGAGTGCATGGAAGGTACC